ATTTTTACCACGTTTTCAGATTTTACCACATTCTCATTCAGTTATTTACTTGTTTGATTTATTTTTAGCTTTTGTTTTTGTCTTACCTGCTTTCTGGAAACACTCTTCGCTGGACTTAAACCCCGTTGTCGTGGTCAACTTTGCTCTGCATCTCAAATGTCGAGCTACTGGACAAACTGGTAACAGCAGAAAAGCCATCCATACGGAGGTAAGTGGTATGCTGGTAAGCAAGAAAAGGAACGGCGTCATACCGTCCTGTACCATTTGCTTTAAAGAAGAAATGCTGCCATATGTAGCTCTGGCTTCATAATTTGCGATCTCCAGAAATGTATGTAGGGCTATGTTTTCAGAAAGAGCCTATGTTGCTAAAGTGTTACTGAGTTGTAGTACACTGATAAGCTACGCAAAACAATGTGTTCAAATTCGATTTAACTGGTTGATTATGACATCGGGATAATCAGTCTGTAATACTGACAGCTGTTTGTGTCACTTCTTAATGAACTATGTCTGTAGTCAATACTACATGTGTAATTTCAATCCTTACCTCAAAACTACAGTCGAGTTTAAATTCTTCTTTGAGATTGTTCTGCAGTCACATGATTCTTAGTCATGCTGAATCAATGAAAGCATTTAAATCCTCTATTTATTCAGCAACTGCTATTTTCCACTGGATATTTCCTGGGTTTCTTTGTGTGTATTTGGACAGGTTTGTGGGTTTCTACGAGAGCACCTTCTGGCCTACCCTCTGGAGTATTTGACCTTCACAAACATATATAACAGTTCTGACTTAATCTGATTGTCTAAAAGCTGTATGATATTCTACAAGTATTAGCCCTAATCCAGCATCTTCACAGAGTGCCAATTAGAGGACTAAACTCGTTATAGTTTAACAAACATTGTGGCCATTGTACCTTATAATGGGTAAATTGGTCACAATCATAACATTTGCTCCAAAGAAAACAGATTTGATGGCAATGTTAAGTTTACAGCTTTAAATATAATAGATGTAAAAAACTTGCCCATTGTTCTTTTGACTGATTTGCTTAGTAAGGGCCTACTCACACTATGCTATTTGACCCGTGCCCAGGCCCGTTTCCCGGATCATTTGAGAAGTGTGAGTGCTCTGAATCAGGCACGGTTCGCTTGGCCGTGCCTGGCCCTGTTGGAAGAGGTGGGCCAGAGCACAGTTCATTTGGTCTTTGGTGCGGTCAGCTTGTTTGTGAGTGCAAAACATGCCTAAGCCTGAAACTGAAAGTGAGACGTGAATTTTAAGAGACTGTTTTATATGGATTAATTAATCATTCCTCTTGTTCAATGAATGCAAACTGTTGTAGTTTATTAAAGTTGCAAACCCCTCAATGCACCAGAGCTGCAGCTTTAGCAAACCTCATAATTCCTGCAGCACGAGGACTTCATGATTGTTTAAGAGCGTCAAAAGTGGCTGATCTGTTCAGTGAAATATTTGACTGCGTGTCACTGCATCCCAAATTACATAAACGATATAACTAAAGAAATCTCTGCTGTACTGAGTGAGAGCGATTACTGAACAGTGCATCATCGATGACGTAAGCATGCCCAGGCCCGAAAGTAATGTGAGTGCGGGCCATTGGGGGAGATGGGAGGGGGGACAAGCGTGCTTTGGCCAGGTTAAGACAACTGTATATAGTGTGAGTACGCCCTACGTTAATATTGTTTGCTAAAGTTATTGTTCAATAAATTACATTAAATAAGTATTTAATAAATTAATTTGTATTGCAAAACACTGTATATAATAATGACTGGTAGTTCATATTACATTGTTCTGCCATCAGACTGCGACAGAGACTGTATTGTAATCAGTATGAAAGGCTTTGAGGAAATGTGGGAATTTGCCAAAGGAGACAACAATTTCCTCAGCAGACACTTCAAACTACAGCTAAGCCGGTAAAAATGAAGGTAAATCACACTTGATCTCTGAGTAAAACTCTCTTTTTTTTCTTGTATATTGTATTGAATAGTTATAGTTATACTATGTAGTAGTTTTTTGTTTTGGTTTTAGCTTTTATGGGATTTAGTGTTTCCAGATGTGGCAGTAAGAGCAAAACAGACATAATTCTGTTGATTTATTGATTTTTTTTATGGTCTTCAGTGTTATAGTCCTGACCTTTGAGCAAAATCCTCTGTTTTGTCATCACTGAGACTTGAATTAGCATCACCTTTTACCTAGCTGTTACAGTCAACATTCAATTTGAATCTGTGTGCAGAATAAATCAGTTCCTCACACTAAAGGGTTTTTGAAACACTCCATTGTTTTTTATTTTTGTTTACACATTTATGCTGTCAAAGTGTTGAATAAATGGAATATCACACTTGTATCAATGAAATATTGCTGTATATCAGCACTGTTGTGGCCTCATGCCAATGTGCAAATCACAGAAATGATGGAGAGCCATATACATGTATGATATTGCTCACACTGTCACACGCACACAAACATTTGCTATATATATATATAACTTACTATAGTGAGGGTCCAGATATCCAGAACGAGGGTCCATGGCAAACAGTGTTCCACGATAGGGCAGGGTGTGGTCTGCCAAGCGGTGCAGAGAGCTCTGAAGTTCTTTCTTCACCAGTGGAGGACGTTCGTCTGTAGAGGTGGATGGCTCTTCACTGACTTTTCCTGATGTGTTCACAACATCAGTCTGCGCACTAATGGTGTTTCGCCTCTCGAGGTGATATGGTGAACCTGAACTGTCATCCTCTAAAAAAGACAGAAAATAAATAAAATGAACATTAATGATATTCTGTTCACTAGGTTTTTTTTTAAATACTTACACGTATAATTAATTATGTTGGTACTTGTTGAAATACAGATTGCAACGAGAAGTCTACTTAAGCACCATGGTTGAATGTGCTACTATGTGTGCTAACACAAATTCATGCAAAGAAACAGACAAATAAATAAATTGACAAACTATCATAATGACGTTTGTGTGCAGTCTAGGTATAGCCTAAATAAGTTGCATGCAACTGAATGTTTTTCAGCATTTACTCAGAATTTTTATTTCTTTTGTTATTTTTCACTACCTTTTAAAATATTACTACACGTTAGAAAAATTAGCTCTGATTGAAAAAAAAAAAGATTAAAATAATAATAATAAAAAGATGATGCTTTAAATGCATTTTTTCCTACAAATTCCAGTGATTTATTTTCTCAGAATTTTGTACATACATCATTCCTCCTTGGGGTTAAATATGACCCATCTTCCCTACCCACTTAAAATAAAGCAGCTACATGTATTTTCAATCGTCAAATCTGTTTTAGACAGAAACTAAGAATAGATCAGGTTTTGAGTAGCTTGTTGGTCAGATGGAACAAAAGTATGTGGGGAAAAGCATTGTTGGAAGTTTGCTATGCTAAGAACTCAGACAGCCATATCAAAACCAGCCTTGTAGCAAATACTGCAATAGAAAAATTCAAGGCAATGTCCAATTAAATCTACTGTAAAGACAAACAAACACAAATACAGAGACACAGACAATGAAAACACGCCTTGTCATGCTAAGTCTTCAGGTAGTGCAAGGAGACAGTGTAAAAGTTAAAATGTGCTATAGTGTAGCTTTGACATTTTTTATGCATGGCAAAGCCTTCAGAGCTTTGCCTCTTTCAGGAATATGTGTAAATTCACAGCATCAAACAAGAGCAATTGAGTGTCTGTGCTTGCCACAGTCTGTGAAATTAAACACACCAACATTCAGCATCACAGCAGCAGTCAAGGATTTCCCACAAGCTTGGTCTCTCTCTCTCTCTCTCTCTCTCTCTCTCTCTCTCTCTCTCTCTCTCTCTCTCTCTCTCTCTCTGTCTTCAAAGACAGACTGTCCCATAGAGAGGGCAGCTGAGTCTTTTCGCTGCATTCCAAACTGCCCATTAAATGGCCTCATGGGTAGTATCAACGCCCACAAGCTATCTGTCTTCTCTCTCTTTTTCTTTGCCTCTCTACTGCACACACAGAAAGAGATGTACTTTTCCTATTTCTCTGTCTGTAAGTTATCTGTCCAGGCAGACGAAGCTGGACTTGTATCCCAGAGGGACTGAGTCGCCAGAGGTTTAAAATAGGGCAAAGAAAAGCAAGTTTACATGGCTTTCAGGATTTGCAGGGTGCTTATTTTTTCAGAGACATTCAAATGACCTATGACTTAATCTCATTTGAGTCATGACCTCTCAATCTAGTACAGAGGTGGGCATAATCTTGAAAAATTAAGAATTTTGATACAGCCCTGATAAAAACTCACCAGCTCCTAGTGTTCTGGTAACACACAGACCTTGATTACATTTTTTAGGTGTGCATGATTAGGGTTGGAACAAAACTCTAGACTGTTTCTCTTTTCCAAGAATGCAGAGATCAGGCTTGGGTTCTAGTTGAGACCGTTCTTGTCAAGTTTCCTCAGAAGAACAAACAGCGAGAACAGAGAATGCATCCTGTGAGAAATGAGATGCTGCAGTCTTACTGATGGTCACATGACCTTCATGTGTTTTTAACAGATTTTTTAAAACATTACAGCATTTATACAACGGTCCTTTTTAATATACATGTTTATATATAAAACATGCACAAAAGCCTTACAAATATATTGTAAGTTATGTGAACTTCAATAATAAACAGGTATAAAATGCTGCACTTCCCATCTACTTTATTCTGCTGCAATGACTTCTGGGATTTCTAGAGCGAGCTCTGCACTCGATTGTGCAATGATGCATCTTTGATAAAAAGAATACATCTGGGTCCTTTCAAGTGTCGTCCATTCTTGTGGTTTTAAGTTTTAGAACTGAACTTTGGCAGTTGATGATGATGATTCACAAGAACACAAGGATGCGAGAACTTTTAGAATGTGTTGATTAAAAGCTCTAGTGCCCCTATGCCCTCAAATAGTAAATTATCTGTGGGTGCAGCCATTTTTAGTGGTGTCTGAAACCATAGTGGACTCAACCAATTCCACAATTCACAGCAATATCGAGTCTACAACGCATGTACACTCAACACTTAGTAAATCCCTTTAAGGCACAGAAAGAGTTTGCGAGCAAATTCATTTCTGCATATGACCACAAGACAGCATCTAAAGCAACATCATTTTATTATAAGTTTCAAGATAAAATATTATTTCATTAAAGTAACGTTTATATACATGACATAAATCATGTCTTGCGTTCCTTACAATGTAAAACCCAAAAAGTTAAGGTAACTCAAACCATTTAAGGAAACATATTGCAACAAACAATTTAAGTTCAATTACTAATTCTAGTGACTACTGTGAACTCATTGAGCAAACAAAGCAATTTGAGCACAGTAAAACCCAACAAATAAAGATAAATCAAACCAACTGAGTACTGTAAAACCCAATAACTTAAGCAACTCAAACCGTTTGAGGAAACCGACTGCTACAAACCAATTGAGGTAAAAAACTAATCAGTTAAAGTACTGTAAACTTAATTTAAAATAAAGTTATGAGGTATTTAATTAACCCAATACCTTCTAATCTCTATTCAAATGAGTAGAACTATCTTTTAGTAAATTTTAAGTTAACTACACTCATTTCATTTGATAAAGTTGACTGTTGGGTTTTACAGTGTACTAATAGACAGCATGCTAACCCCTACAGTGCATTGAGTGCTAAAATTTACTCAATCATTTCATTTACTCCATCAAATGGACTATATTAGTGGACTAATGTAGGGGATAGTGAATGATGGTATAGGGAGCAATTTTGGATATAGCAAAGGAGTTTTTCAAACAATACTAAGAATAAAAAAGTTTGGACATGCATCCTTTTGGTACTTTTTTGGGGGGCTTCACCACATCGTAACTCTCCCAGATGTAGAGAGACAGCGAAGGTGGCATCATAAAAAGCAGTACCCTGGATACCATGGCTCTTGATACATCATAAAGACTTGTTGTCTTGATCACAGATGCACCAGCAAGGCACACACCAACAATTTGTTCTTCTTTTGAACTCTAATGTCACCCATGATGTTGTGTACATTTAAATATTTTAAGCAAAACTGTGCTATTACTCTGCTAATAAACCTTTACAATCTGATATTACTGGTGGAACGTGCAATTTACCAGGCTGATAAAATTTAGCAATGAAACCTTTAAATTATTAGATTTTAGCTCAATCTATAGCCATACTTTTTAATCTTGCCAATAATTTACCCATTGTATCACCCCTGTTTTTTGCATAAGCCACCTTTAGACATAATACCCCAGCATATTATGTACAGCAAGATTTTTTTTTTTTTTCAAATTAGAAAAATATTAATTTGAAATATATAAATAAACTTTAAATGACAAGAATGGATTTTAATGGCAAACATTTTTTTAATACTTTTTAAACAAACTTTAATAACTAATGTTACAAATTGCTCGGACAAAATTGATGGAATCAACAGGCTGTTGTAGAATTTATTATGAACAAATGTGGTTTGTGATTTTAGGTCATTTAAAGTGTTAATCCTCTGATTTGGCATCTCAATTTTATAACGGTGACACAACGTTGGAATTAAAGAGAGAGTTCACCCAAAAATGAAAATGACCTTACCTTTTATTCTCCCTTAATGTGGTTTTAAACCTTTCTTTTATTAAACACAAAAGGCAGATATTTTGAAGAATAGTAATAGAAAAGTATTAGAAAAGTAAAAGAAATTAGCTACCGGTATTTTTCAAAATATCCTCTTTTTTGTGTTGAACTCAAATAGGTTTTAAAGAAGTGACCTATGAGTAAATGATAGCAGAATTTTTATTTCTGGGATGAACTATTATTTTAATTAAAGAAATAATCAAATAATAATAATAATAATAAAAATAATAATAATAATGATTGTAATTGGGGGTTCATTCTGCTGTGTTGATAATTCAGAGAACATGCCAAAGAAATGTGAGTGAGTGAGTATTGTTTAAAACATGAAATAGCAATGGAAATAAGGTTAGTGCACAGCCCTACTTAATGGGCCGCAGTTGGTAAAAAACCAATTAAAACTGTTAGGATTAAAGACCGTATTCCACATATCATTATGGAATACACTTCACAAATTGGCATGATAGAAGGATTCAAGGATCCTACGACCATGAAAAATGACAGCACCAGTACCATTTTAAATCTTTAATCCTATACTGCATAGCCAGTGATCTTATTGAGGGAATAATAGCACTTATACCCTTAAAGCAGGATAAATCGGCCAGCTGCCATAAAACCACAATATTAACGTAAAGGGATTTAAGTATCATCCCTTTGCCATTCTCAGAGAATCACACGCACATGGATTTGAAATAGAATCAGGTGTGGATATATGAAGTTAAAAAAAATACAACATGTCATATTGACTACATTTATTTAATTTGAAAGATTAATATCACTATAATTAGATTTTTCAATAAGAAAATATACCACTCAATAGTCACATATTCTCCCCCATTTCTCTCAGACGAACTTTTAAAATATCTGAACTCCATCCCTTCAAACACAGGTTTACCTGATCCACCTCCACACAGCCCAGCAATCTTAATGCATATTATATTGTATATTATATTATTTATACACACAGTTGAAGTAAGAATTATTAGCTCCCCTGTGATTATTTTATTTTCAATATTTCCTAAATCATGTTTAACAGAGCAAGAAAGCAAGAAAATTTTCACAGTATGTCTGATGATATTTTTTCTTTTGGAGAAAGTCTTATGACTAGTAAAAAAATTATATATATTT